GATCATGATGATTCGGCACCGGGCGCGGGTTTGGACCTGATCCTCATGCCCCTCCAAAAACACTCCCATCCCACACCACCCCTCACGGAGGATCATGATGATTCGGCACCGGGCGCGGGTTTGGACCTGATCCTCATGCCCCTCCAAAAACACTCCCATCCCACACCACCCCCCACAGAGGATCATGATGATTCGGCACCGGGCACGGGTTTGAACCTGATCCTCATGCCCCTTCAGGCTCACCTTGGGCTCCTATACAAGGTGGCCCTTGAGTTTGGCCTTTGTCACACTGCACCATTCAACTGACCCCCCCCCCCCAACCCAGCTTCTGCCCACTTCCTGCCAGCCCCCCCACGCTGAGCCTGTAATATCGCAGCAGCCTTATTGATAGCATGTCATAGAATCTCTAAGTGCCGTTTTTGCCGGTGGCCCGATACCGCCGCGGCCTCGCCGGGCGGAGATAACTGATCGATGTGCAACAGCAAATTAAGTAATAGCGTTTTTATGTCTGTGCATATTATGGCACCATTTAGAGCCCCAAAAACTGGCGTGGCTCTTGCTAGACAGGAGGACAGAATCAATCAGAACAAGAATGGACGTCCACAGCAACGTAATTGTCCGTTGTGGAGATGATTGTGTCGGGAAATATATGAAAATCATCACTGCCTATTCTTCTCCCTTTCACAATCAGCTGGGGGAAGGGGTGGGGGGGGTTTGCGTTTGCTTTTCATCTCACAGAATCGTCCTGCAAGAGCTCCTCCAGGTTACCCATCTTGGCTGAGGATGCATGTGGCTGTATTTATTTGAGAATATCACTTTGCACAATTGTTCTCTACATAACAGGCATTCTCTTTCCACTCTCTGAAAGAAAACCCCCTGATTTTAAGTAGCTCTGGTCTGTAACGTCTATGTGAACCAGACATGATGAATCTTTTTAATATTTACAAAGGAACATAATTGAACAAATAGCTGAGATCCCCCTATTCCTACACACATACACAGAATGACTGCTTTGTCTTTTATGCATGGAGCACTTTTGCATGGCTCATAGTTATAGTTGCACTTAAAAAAAAAAAAAACTCTGGATGAATAATAGCACTGAAGAAATCATACCAATCAGGAATTCGGTGGAACATAACACACAGAAAATACATTGCTTCCGTTAGTTTGATTGGTTCATGTTTGCATATTTAAAGCCTTTAACGTAACTTAACGTTTGCATAATTGACCTACGTATTGGTTTGCGTTTGGCGTATTTTACTTTAATCAAATTTCTGGTGCGGCCACGGGGTTACAGTGGCGCCCTACTGGACCAGCTGCAGCACACTTCCGCAGGTCTCACGGCACAGGCTCGAGACTATAAGCAGACGAGACTCGCAAAGCGGCGTGTGTGGGTGCCGCGCTTGAGGCAGTGCGTGGAGTGGGGGGTCGCGTGAACGCGCAGCAGATCTGCGCGTGGAGAGCGGAGTGGCTGCGCGGCGCTCTGTAATTACTGAGCGCTTTATTAATACCCGCTGCTGCGGCTGCAGTCGCTAAAGATGCGCCGGGACCGCAGCATCCTGCTCGCCTTTTGCGGACTGATCATCACGGCCGTCGGATGCCAGGGCGTCAGAGTTTTAAGCGGTAAGTTAAACTTTTTTCCACAGTGTGCTTTGGTGATGGCGCTTATCAGGAATGTTTTTCTTAGGAGGAAATTATTTCTTAGCGACGTTTTATCTGCTGATTTTAATTGTAAAACGCTCGTTTTATAAACATTCCTATTATTCACTATATCAACTAACTGTAATAAAATGCATTATTTTATATAAAGACAGACTACTCTATAAATAATGACTGTAATGGTAAGAAATAACTGGTTTTTCATTCTTTCGTGCACTGATTATGTTTTAGTATTTTAGTATTCTATCGACGGTGAAACGAAATGCCGAAATTTATGTGCCATTTTTATTAATTTGAGGCTTATAAGAAATAGACAAGATTGTTGCATGCGTTTTGCCGGTATGCGGTTGGATGCTTAAATCATTATAACTCCAAAGAACTGAATTACCCGATACGTGTCTGTACTTTTTATACAGTCCGCATACCATAAAGTCTCAGTCAAAAAAGTCGGATGATAATGCACAAAACCGAATTTCTTTAATTAAATCGTCGAAGGACTGTCCTTCATAATAAGCTGGACGTTTTCCTGGTTCCTTTTGAATATGGCTACTCTTTTGGCTACTATTTAGGCTGTTGCCGTTTATGAAAACTTCATCGCTATAGGCGCTCCCGATAACTTCGTTTTTGGCAGCAACTTACGCATGTGCTTCTCTACATGGGGGATGGTGGCTCTTTCTACACAGTCCTTCACGGATTTTCGCCCTCTTTACAATCCCCCCTCTCATTAAAGTCACTTTGCTGTGGACTGAAGTCATCAGAAATGCAACAAAAGGGGCATAACGAGTAAATCAGGAAGCACAGGCAGATGGTCTAGCGTTTCGGGGATCGCGATACAGGGATTTATTGATGGTGTAAGCAACGCTTTAGTCCGAATTTCCAGGGGATCAAATAAGTGCAATGTATTACTCTACATCAGGGGTCACCTTTTTGAAACTGAGAGATACTTCACGGGTACTGAGCCATACGAAGGTCTACCAGTTTGATACACTCATCTTAAATCTTAATCTTCTTAAAACATGTATAATAAACATGTTTTAAATGCTTTTTTTAGATATTGTCATTTTCAAATCTATATAAATGCAAGTGTGATTAAAGAAGAATAGCAAGAGGATAAAATTAAATTTTGCTCACTGGTGAGTTGTGCAATTCTTAGATCAGGTCCGTGGGCGACTCATGTGGTCCTTGAGGGCATCCTGGTGCCCGCGGGCACCATGTTGGTGACCCTTGCTCTATATGCTATAAAAGCACGCAGCCTTGCATGTCGGATGATTTAATCCGAAGTGATTTATATATCCTGCATTACCGGTTGCTTCTCATCTTTACCATCGCGAACAGGAGCAGAGACGCGCAGTGAGCAAGAAAAAGAAAAAACGAAGTAAAGCAAGGAAACAGGCGAGTGAGAGGCAGGAATGAGTGAAACTGCTGAGTGCAACGGTCTCTTGGAGATGCGGCGGCAGCTCCGGTCCAAAGTGATGATGGTGCAGTTCTGAGCCAGGCAATTATTTAAAGTAGCGTCAGGGCAGTGCGCTAATGGGATTATCCGCCTTTTAACTGCGTGTGTATTAATCACGTTATCATTCCCCAACTTTACCGGCTCTTTGAGCCCCCAAACTCCCTTTTGTGGTCCATGTGATGGTTCCTGATCTCCCACTGGTGTGTGGCACATAATGTGACTGGTTTCCTGGTCCCCAGGTCAGACGGTGTGCCTCGGCGGTCCGGCGGAGCCCTGTTACAAGCTTGCGTACTTCCGTGACATGACAAGCCGTGTTGCCTTCATAGAGGCGCAGCGCGCATGCGAGATGGATGGGGGCACCCTGCTGAGTGTGGAGAGTGGAGCAGAGCAGAGGCTCATTGAGCACCTTCTCCAGGAGCTCAGCAACGCCTCCTCTGGGTCCGCCTTAGGGCCGGGGGCAGTGGATGGAGACTTTTGGATTGGGCTGACACGGACAGAAGGGGAGCCCCAGGACCATGGGCGCTTTGCATCATGCCCAGACCTGTACCGCTGGACAGACGGGAGCACTGCTACATTCAGGTGGGCGGGGAACTATCTGTAGTTGTGCTGCAGTGTTTGCCGGCAGGAAGTGATGTCACCACTGTGCCTGTCTTACAGAAACTGGTACTACGATGAGCCGTCGTGTGGCGGGGAGGCCTGTGTGGTCATGTACCACCAGCCCAATGCTCTCAGCGGCCTGGGGGGGCCATACTTGTACCAGTGGAATGATGACCGATGCAATATGAAGCACAACTTCATCTGCAAGTACAAGCCAGGTAGGGACTGCCTGCATGGTACACAGGTAGGGGTGGGCAGGTACCTTTCATTGAGAGTCTTGTGCTTCTGCTGCAGACAACGTGCAGGACAAGAAGTTCTCAGCAAAGCCAGGACCATCAGAGCCAGGTGGGTCATGGGACCTCACCCTGACAACTTCAGTCTGCCTGCTTCACTGACTCACTGACTTTAGCTTCACTGACTCACCGGCTTTAGCTTCACTGACTCATCTACTCCAGCTGCACTGACTCATCTACTCCAGCTGCACTGACTCACTCATTCACTCACTCATCCCCTTCAGATGCACAGACTCACTCATCCCCATAAGCTGCACTGACTCACTCATCCCGTTTTAGCTGCATTGACTCATCCACCATTCCCACTCGCCTGCTTTTTTTCTCTTTTTTGCCTGGTGGCCCAGACCTCTCTAACAAGGAGCCGGATGTGAAGGAGGAGACCCTAGTCCCGCCTCACGTGATAGCTACAGGCCCCTCGGGTGAGTGAGCTGGGGGGCTGTGTGTGCCGTATGCTGTGGATGAGTGTGTAAACAGGGACATCCTCCTCTTGATCCTGCTTCTCAGGCCTCCTCCTGGTTTACGTCATCATCCCCACCATCCCACTGCTCCTCCTCATCCTGGTGGCTTCTGGCACCTGCTGTTTCCAGATGCTCAGCAAGAGGTGAGAATTTCAGCCCAGCACAGCTCCTCCCCCTCTGGAGCCCCATGTCACACACTCCCACTCCTCCACACACACTGACGATCTCCATAACACACACACTCCCACACCTCCTCACACACTGACGATCTCCATGACACACACTGAAAGACCTCCTCACACACTGACAATCCCCATGACACACGCTCCCACACCTCCCACATCACGTTCAAGCTGGTCAAGCCAAACTGACTCCGGTGCCTAAGAACCCTTTATGACTATAATGCGATCGGTACACAGATCACACAGGCTGAACGAGAACATCCCCCGCTCCCCCCCCAGACTGTTTGTGGTTTATTTTATTAATGAAACCGTGCCTGCCTGGAATGATGTCTTTTTAACATACATTCGATTGCCCCTGGAGATGGGGGAGGGGTCCTTCAGACAGTGCATTTAATCACTGCTTGCAACACGGCCAACAGCAAAAGGCTGGTTGGATGCTGTTCAACACCCCCCTCCCTGCCTGACGCCCCCCCCCCCCAAGAAAGACAAGGGCCTCGCTTTACGAAGCAGCAGACACAGCCATGAGACCACATGTACACTGTGCAGGTCTGTTATGCTTCATAGTCCTGAACATATTCCCTGTGGTCCATGGCTGACCCTGCTTCTCCATACAGTAACGTCAGGTTACCAGCAGAGACCCTCATCCTGACCACACTGTCACTCTGTCCCTGCAGCAAGCCACGGGCCAAAACCAGTGTGACCCAGCCCACCCTCTGGATCTCCAAGACGCCCAAAACAGACAGCGGCATGGAGGTGTGAAGTCCTGCACCACAGAATGCCCTGCATTACCAACTCCCCCCTGTCCCCACCGCTACTCTTTACGTTGATGTTACGTTCTGTTGATGTTAATGGCTGAGATCGCCCCCCTGATGGCCTGAACAGTACAGCACCTGGGAGCTGCCCCCTCCCTCACAAACCCATCTCCCTCCTCCCTTACCTCATGCTTATCTGGTACCAGCATCCCCCCTCAGCTGTTTCTTCATCTGGAAGGAGCCCCAGGCACATTCAGTGCTGACCCCCCCTGCCTCCCTCCTACTTAGGAGCATCACAGTGGATACCAGGGCAGTAAAAGATTAATGCTGCATAATAAAGTGTTTGGGGGAGTTAAGAGTGGCCTCAACATGGTGACAGAGAGATTCTGAACATGCAAGACTTTGAGGGGCGTTGAATTGCAGCAGAGAGGGGTGGCAGGCAGATTTCCAGCATTCCAACAGCCTGTATCGCTGCCCCCCGCTAGATGGAAGTGGTGCAATCTGTGTGTTGCTGAAAAGGTGTAGACTGGCGTGTTTTGTATCCATGTTTGCTGTGGAAATGTGGACCTCCCAGATAAATGCTTGTTTAACACCGTTTCCAGATTAATGTAAGTGAAAATGTTCTGCCCATGTGTTGTCATGTGAAGAGGATATCAATTAAAGCCTTTACGTGAGGGAGTGGTTTGCTGTGCTGTGTGGGGCAAAACTGCTTGGACTTCTGGGTACTTTGGAAATGAGTAAAGCTGATAAATGGGACCTGGAGATGGCAAAGCCAAGGACATCCTGGTGGCCTTTGGACTGCCACAGACAGGCCAAAGTAGAGCAGGATAGTCACATGTCACTCTCTCTCACACACACACACACACACACAGAGGTTTGTAATTATATCTTTGTGGGGACTTTCCATTCATTTCTTTGGGGAAAACTTTAATCCCATCCTGTTGAGCTTAACCCTTACCCAGCCCTAACCGTAACCATAAGTAACCAAACAAAATATGAGAATTTTGACATTTTTAGTTTTTGATTGCATTCACAGATCTTTGCGGGGACCTGTAAATTCACCACCACAACTTCAAGAAACAGGTTTTTGTTACATTGTGGGGCAATTGTGTATTTGGTCCCCACAATGAAATATAAACATAATCCACAGATACACACAAACCCAACCTGCTGTGGCCATAGAAATACACTTCTGCAGTGCAGCCGAAATCCTCACATTTCTATGTGCTGGTTACCCGAATGTAATGAGCAGCAGACCTCCCCTAACAGAGAGCAGCATTTCAGGCAGCTACATTAATGAGCCTTGCTGCTCCACGCACCAGCTGAGAAGAGTGATTACTGACAAGGAGCCGGAGGACAGAATGATGGGAATGCCTTGCTCCTCACTGCTGTTGTAATGAAGCTAACGGAGGGTCATGCTTTCCTCACATTCACCTTTGATGAAGTTCACACACACTCATCACGGACGCTCCCGCACACACTCAGAGCCACAGCTGGGCTGAGTGGAGACCCCTGTAAAGTACCACTTGACCTTTAACCCCTCCACAGGCTCATAAATATCAGGGCCAGCAGTGCCCAGTCGATAGTACCTGGTCGAGGGGAGTGTTGCTGTTTGTGAAGGAGCTCCGTAAAAGCTCGTGTGGTTCGCCAGAAGGAAATGAATGTTACCATGTGTTATTCTGTTGGATCCCTGTGTGAGAGACATTGGTGTAATTTGTGATGATTTTAAGCAGCACATCAGAGCTGCCCTGTTTCTGCTCCACAGTTAATTTATACAGAGACACCATAGCTAATGCCATTAAATGAATGAACGACAATGCAGCCTGAAAGATGCAAAGACAGTCTGAGTGGATACATCGTCTACTGCAAACTTTATTTTGTGGCTCCTTGGAAGGGGGTGTAACACACACCAAGCAACATGACATTGGCACTGCAGTAATGTTTAAGAAGCGTTGACAGCCAGCAGGGGGCGGCGGTGGCGGTGCTGTGGGCGTGCTGCAGGCCGCCTGCCCTGTGTGAAGTCGCACCCATGGACCCATCGCTTTATTCTGCGCCCATTACAGTAGTCATTCCAGGAGTCCCTGTAGGTAAGAAGCAGATTTAGCATCCCTGCCACTGGACACAGTCATGTGGCCAAACACACCAGGCATGCCCCCCAAATTAGGAGCCCGGTGAGCTCTTTGGGGGGGGGGGAGTAAACTACAGTATGCTTACCAGGACTTCAGCCCCTCCTTCTTGACGATGGTCTTCGTGCAGTTGACAGAGGCGGTCAGATTGTCATTCAGAAGCTCTGCCGGGACCAGAAAGGCATTAGAAAGCTGACCTAGCGAGCTCGCCCCCCCCCCCCCAGGCCGACTCACCCCCTCACCTGCACAGTGCACCTTACAGAGGTTCTCCCCGCCAGCCGTGCCGTCGTCACACCACTTGAAGCTGTTAATCTGGAAGACTCCATAGTCCTTCCCAATGTTGTTGCTGTCACGCACCTTGTCGGTCTTCCACCGGCTTTCCCAGAATGCCATGCAGACGTCTGGAGGGAGCAGAAACACCTGACGGGCTCAGCTGGGTTTGTGGTTCAGGAGCTCAGACCCGAGTACATCCCCAAACATCAGTTCATTTCTTAGTTTAATGTGCTTTGTCAAACTCTAAAAGAGCACTCTGTCACTTTAACACCAAAATCAAACAGCATAAACACAGACACAGCCCGGTCAGCACGGTTCATGCTTACAGTTGCCCAGAGCGAATCCCTCAAATCCATCCAGGCCCTGCTGCTTGAAGATGCGTACCACCTCGCAGCGGCTCAAGCGTCGCCCCCTGCAGGCAGGCAGCAGTGCCAGCAGCACCAGGAACAGCAGTGGCTTTGGCATGGTTCCAGCTCGTCCTCAGTATGCTTGGCCCAGAAAAACTGACATTACCTGCAGCTCAGAGGTTTATATAGAGAGCTGAGGAGACTCGCTGAGACACCCACCCCTCACCCAGCCCCCGCTTTAGCAAGGCTGATTTCTACAGATGGGTAACCATTGAGACACAAACATTTCACACACAACCGTTAAACACGCCCCCTTCTGTTGAAATGATGAAGGTTCCCATTTTCACATGCAGCAGTGTGAGGCCTTGGTCATTGTGAAGTGCCTGTTCATTGCCATTTGATGCCTTAATTAAGCCTGGTGTCAAACTCAATCACTGAAAGGGCTACCAATGAATGAATAACCTCCAATTAATTAGCAGTTCGACCAAGGCTTATTTATTTAGCTGATAATATAACCAAAGCTTTGCAATAATTTGGTTGAAATCTTTACTTTATGTAAATAACATTTATAAATGTGAACTGTGTAATTCTAAAACATTATACCTGTAATAAACATATTCCATTATCCTCTTTTTAAATAAAACAATGATATACAAAACCCTAACATTATCCACTGGATCCTTTCATAAGAGAAATGGGCTGAGTTTGGTCCCAGGAAATCAAAACAACTAGATTTACATGTAGGACATTTTGCTGAATTTTATGCTAAATCACAGCTATTGAACCTGTCAGCAGGGTGAGGGTAGGAAGACGAAAGGTAAAGTGCAGGTTTGACCAGGACGAGCCAGACTTCCTGGGTAGGACTGTAATGGCAAACATAATCGTCGTCAACCCTTTGGTTTCATCACTTTTCAGAACACACATTGAGATGAATACATTCCTTGACATGGTGACATCATCCACATTAGGTGCACAATTGTTCCGAATTGTGTTTGTGTTTGCAATGTTAATAATAAATAATCTCAAGACAAATTATGTTTTCCCCGCTGTATCAATGTGAACTCTGAATCCAAAACTGAAGTTTGTACCGACCTGTGAATTTTGTGTATAATTTGTGTATAATTCCCAGTCCATGTTTGAAAACATTTTTTTTTGTTTTTATTGATTTTAATAATTAAATGGGGCTGAAATCTCATAAAGCAAGGAAGAAGCCCATCATTAATGAGAAACAGAGAACCAGGCTGCAGTTTGCAAAATACAAATATATAATTCACAGACACACACCCATAACTTGAGAAATGAGTGAAAAAAATTGTGCTGTGGTCCCTTAATTTTTTCTGAGGCTGTATATGTATATGCAAATGGATACAAATACACAAAAAACCAAAAACAAATCCCATCCCAAACCGCTGATGCCAGTTTATATATGTACGCATGAGTAAAAAGAATAAACAAAAAGCATGATCAGTCCAAATGAATAACAATGGGAATTATAGTTAAGCATAAATAAATAGAGAAATATACAGTGTAGCTGGAAAATCGAAGTCCATGGAGGAAATAATACAAAGGAGCCCAGACTGGCCAGAACTTATCCGAATTATATTGCAGATGGTGAGTCAGTTTCTCCGACGGGATGAGGGCCGAAATCTATGATACCCCTAACCCTAACCCTAATCCTAACCCTAACCCAAACCCTAACCCTAACCGTAACCACATACTAGTGTTATATACATCCTAATACCCTGAATCACAATGTGAACCTCCTTCTAAAATTATGGCTATGAGCACATGACCAAAAGTCATACCTTATGTTAATTGCATTTGTAACACAAATTTCTGGAGGCAGACTGGATTAAAACAATCCTATGAAAATTCAGTTCATGGATAGAACCTGAAGTACAACTAGGAAAAATTCCGCTGCAGATGTCACTCCATTCTTCAGGAAGAAATGTTAAGTTAAGCGAATCATAAGCAGATGAGTCTGAATACAGAACTAATCTTTCTAGTGATCTGGCAGATCCCTGAAATAAAATGTAGTACTTGGAGGTAAATAAATTTTTTTTTATGAGAGATGCCAAAGTTACTGAGATCTGCTCTAAGGTCTTTAAAGAATCGTTAGTTATTTGGCATGAAATATCTGACAAATCCTGTAACCATTTGAAGAGATACTCCTGCTCTCAGCCTGGAGATCAGGATTTAACGGCAAAGGTGGACATAAAGAAATGGCAGAGGGGATATTTAAAGTATTTTCTCACATCCCTCCACACCAGAAGTCTGTAATGAATTATTGTGTTGTTATTAAGGGAAGATATCTTATGCATAATATTAATAAAAGGGAGAGGCTTTTAAGCACCATAGGGTAACATACCGATGATTCAAGACCATCTGAATGAGAGTGATACCTTTTCATAATCCTGGGCCATTTTTCACAGAATATCAAAACCATTTTATGGGGTGTTAAGAATTATCCTGGATGTGGCCCACAGGTCTTGCTTTAGACAAAGGTTTATGTATGTGAAATATCGATCAGACTATCAGTTACAACAGAACGGTTCTGACCTGGGACTTGGACCAAAATCATTCAGATTCATGTGGTTAAAACAGGATTTACTGAGATGAAGTACAGTAATAAAGATCTGGCTGGTTTCTGAACCACATTGCCACCTACTGACCCAATGTACTGGGAGCCGAATAAACAGAGGCATTCACAAGCTTCGGGGTGAGTAACTCTCCATGTCCTGCTTTTATGTCTCGTCTCTGATGCTGGTAGATGATCCTGGCTGGAGACGCACGAGACACCAATAAACACGAGTCTGCTCTGTTGTCCCAGTGCAGCTGCAGTGACCCAGTGTAATAATTGTTAACAAAAAACAAAACAATATGAAAATATTTTTGCAAGCTTAAAATAATTATGATACGAAAATAAAGTAAAAAATAAAGTAAATAAAATCTTTGATTACCATTAATTACTATTCCCTGGAACATGTTTCTACCATTTTGAGGTGGAAAATAATGTGTACTGAGTGTTCATGTAGGACTGTAAGACCAGACACATAAAATTAAAAAGTAAAATTACTAAAACCTAAACTGACACTAAGGTATATAAAAACTAAACAGAAATATATCTTTCAAATAAAAAGTAATAAAACAACAAAGAAAACTAAAAAATAAACTGCATTTGAAATGAAAATAGAAAATATAAAAACAAAATTAAAAAAATCTAAACTATAATAAAACTGCTGTGACCTCAGCACCATGTGGCCTGATAAACTCTGTTACGCGGTAACGGTTAGCCCAAGCGTTGGAGCCTCCTCCCCTTGTGAAAGCGCCTGCATTGAGAAACATAACTGCCTAGAGTTTAGGAAACCAATTGCGTTGTCTGCTGGCCGAGCAGGATAACGTGCTCATGGTAATAAGTGTTTCAGAGGGCCTCAGGCAACAACACAGAAACACTGCAAAACCACTGAATTGCGGCACCAGCTGGCGAAAAAGCAGGATGCGCCGCAACAGACTGACCGCACCGAAGTACAGCAGCATCTCAGCATCAATGGTGAAATTAAACAACTAAAATAAAGCCAAATTCTAACCCCTCAACCCTGTGTGGTGGTGGTGGTGGTGTGGGCATGGGGGCGGGTGGGGGGGATGTCATGCAGCCCAAAGCCAAATGATGATGTGCCTGAATATCTTATCCAAATTCACTGATTCAAACAGCCTCTTCTGGAAAGTTCCTTTCTTCTCAGACCACCGGTTCAGTGTGTATATGTAGTTATCCAGTTTCCAGGGCTCAGCTGAGGCAGCCTGGCATTTACTCTTTACGCATTTAATCATTTAAACTTGAAATTAGCTGCCAGTGTTGCGGCATTAAATCATTATATCTGTTAGCGATTTTGTCGTCAAACTGCTTAAGCTCCCAAGTGGCTCAGATAAGCGCCTAGTCGACCTCGTTCTAACTGCTACTTATCGTCCACACAACGGAAAAGGCTGCTTCGAAATAGCAGCAGGCCCCTTCAAGGCTGATGACTGTTACATGTGGACAGGGCTAAGCATGTCATACATTCTATGCCCTCCATGCATGGACTTGATACTGATCAGCCTGCAGAGGAGGACAAACATCAATAGTAAAGATCAGGGTGTGGGTGGTGTGCAGAGCCCCTCTAATACTCACATGGAAAATGCAAACAGTACCAGGCCATCTACATTCTCTAGGGATAAACTGATTCAAGTGTAAAAAATAAACACAGCGTCACAGCAGCTCAGATAAGGCTAAAATGATCAGGGGATTAGTGTGGATCTCTGTGGGGGTTGTCTTTATTCAGCCCGGGGAGATCAAGAACCACCAGCCATTTCTTTAATTAATTTTAAACCCACAATGATATGCTGTTTACAAAAGTAATACTCAGATTTTTGGAATCACTGACATGAAAAATATCTTTTAAGTGATGAGTGCTGCCTTTTCCTATATAATCCCCATTTATCCCCTGCCCCTACACCCCCCAGTAAGTTTGTCCAATACTGATGCCCCCTCCACCCATTCCTCAGGTCTGGGGACAGCATTATGCTCTATAACTTTCAGATCTCAGAGAAAACAACCATGGGAAGAAACAGAGAGTGTGAGACCAGCTCTCACACAGCCACCCGCATTCACTCCTACAAAATGCACAGGTGCCCAGCCAGATATGCCTGTGTGTTTGTGGAAGGACAAAATTAACTGCAGCTATGCATGTACCTGTATGCAGGGATACATGTGACATATAAACACCTGCTTGGTGTGTGATGCAATGACACTGATGCCAGTATAGTCGCCTGGAAACAACTGTGTCCCTCGCCCAGTCGATTAGGGGGCCACAGCTCCGTGCTCTACAGCACTATTGGCATTGTGGGATGTCTTCATCTGTCCAAAAAGACTGGCCAATGAACCAGGTGGGCAAAGATGGCCTAAATGGGTTAAACTTTCTGCGTTGACCTGTTCAGAGGACCTGGCTTTGCACTCAGCTCTCCCTTTTGTCTCAGTGGTTCTATCCTGGATGAACTCTAATAGGCCCAGAGTAATTGCTGGTGTTTTTCACTAAATGGGGTTCAAGTGAGCTAAAATAGATCCCAGTAAATATCCAAGGGCAGATTTATGAAACTCACTCACAAGAGCAAAAACCAAAAAGACTCAACACCACAAAAGGGGCCTGGCTTTATACTTTAGCTCTATATAGATCCAGCACAGGGAATTCAGATCCAATTTTCATTGATCTTAGGCCCTTTCACAACACAGCAGGCAGACTTCTGTCACATTCCTACCTCAGGAACTTGGCTCTATTGTAGTTCCTGGTCCATTTCTTTAGTCTCTACTCTGGGGTAGATACAGAAGTAGGGCTCATAGCAATAAAGCAATGCTTAGCTAATCATGCGCACTGGACTCATTTGGAAGTTACACAGAAGTGCAGGTAAAAGAGATAAAATCATAATTTTTCTATCTCAATTACATTAAATGTATTAATGATTACCTTTTTTGCTTGCACCTCCATATTTCTACAACAGAAAATTTGATCTCCACAATTCAATGTCTCCGGTTTTCCTGTCATTTTTATAGTGATGCACAAATATGAAAATTTTGACCGATACCGATAACCAATATATTTTCACTGGTACTGGAGAAACTTCGTGGCAGTGATTATTTACATATGTAATAATGGAATATATAGAACATATGTTTCATCATCTTTTTATTCTGTGGAAAACAAAAGATAGCTCTCCTGGCCGGATTTAATAACGAATTATAAAGATCACGGGCTGTATAAATAAAATGCTGCATCCTCTTTTAAACCTGACGGAAGTTA